TAAATATTTTTTTAATAAAGATAAGAAAACTAATGTATGGTGAAAATTAATGTATATACATGCCAATCATTATTTTATCCAAGATCATTCATAAGAATCCTACCACATTGCTTAGTAATGTTTTGATTGAGCACTACTACCCATGATTCCATGAGAGTAATGAGACCACGCAATTTTTATTAGCTCAATAGGAAACATTAGTATAAAATGAGTAAAATGAACTTTTTTTAGAAACATTTTTTAAAAGGAAAACACAGTTAAAAATTAATTCTCCTTGGCTGGTTCCTTGAAAGAAAACAAATAGAGACAATTAAAATGAATTTGAAAGGAAATGATGGATGGAAGGTGAGAAAATGAGACTTCTCTTTCTTCCATGCAATGAAAAAATAAATGGTCTGCCCCTAGTAATATATTCTTCGTCATTGAAAAACAGTTTTGTACCTTTAAATAACCAAAAATTAATTTTGATACTTCAAATATTGATTTAAGCTTTTAGCCTTTTACCACTAAGACTTTGTGCTAGTAGACCAATAAACTAATTAATTCAAAAATCTGGTCCAATAGAAATTGAATTGAAATTGGTAAAAAGAAAAAAGGATCAGATTCATTTAAGATCATTGCAAAAAAATAAAAAACAATCATTACCTTAATAAAATTATTCTTTCTTTTTGTACTATTATTAAAATAGTTTATTAAGGTAAACAATAGTATGATTCTACTTTTGTAAAGCAGAAGACAGATAATGAAGTGTCGTGCATCTCAAAATTATTCTTTCTTTTTGTACTATTATTAAAATACCTTACAGCCTTTTTATTGTGGATTATAAACTTCCTTCCTCTTTTGGTAATTGTTTTTGTTGAGTTAATGAGAAAATCCACATGTAAGTGAAAGTATTGTCCCATATTGAAAGAGTATAAAAGTGAAGAGAAATATTGAGATGTGTATCCCACATTGAAAAAAAAATAAAAAATAAAATTGTGTCTCACTTTATAAGGCTAAGAGGCTACCCTCATTACCACATGGTTTTGAGGTGGAATCTTCTTGGACTTGTATAGTGGACACTTGAGATGGGTGAGACTTCGGCCCGTTTATCAATTTTATACCACTTATGTTTTTTATTAGTTGACACGTTTTCCATTTTGAGAAGTTTCTTTTTAATTGACACGTTCCTATTTTGGGTAAACTTTGTGTTGCTAAATGTCAATTTTACCCCTTTTTTTTCTCCTTCCCGCAATAGTCTTTCTCCTCTCTTCCCTAACTGCCTACCCAGTACCCACTTTCTCTCCTCTGCTATGACTAGGATGACAATGAGTCGGATTCAGATCGGATTATGCAAAATCCAAGATGTTGAATTTTTAATTTGCCTCCGCCTCCGACTCCAAGAATCTGACTTAAATTTTCAACCTCCGACTCCTACTCTGACTTTAAATTTGATTTTGACCAAATTATCAATAGCAACCCATATATAATCAACTTCAAAGACCTATGAATACATGAATTGAACAATAAAATATATATAAGTACATAGAAAAGTCGGAGTCGGATCGGATAAGTCGGTTTCTAAGTAGACTCCAACTCCGACCCTCTTCCGACTCGGAGTCGGATTTTTTAAGCGAAGTCGGACTTGGATTATTATTTCTCGGATTCAGTTCGGATTTTTTTCTTCGGATCGGATCAGACCATGAGCGGATTCGGATTAAATTACCATCCCTAGCTATGACAGAGCAAATTAATTAGTATAATAAGAATATTAAGATAACAATATATATACTCGCATAAATGTTGCACTCCTATGTACCCAGAAAATAGCGGCTATTCCAACATATATCTGCGCGTTACAACTTTACATTACGCTATTATTTATTCTACAGGTATATTTTATGAATTGTATAGCATCCCCAACTACTCAACCTTACAGAGTTTTCTATTGTGGATAATCAACCCACCATATAATGTGTTATGTTAATCTAGTATTACTTCAAGGATCTGTCTACAGCAATTGTATGTTCTAGACTTCTAGTTGTAGTACCACTAGTACAAGCTGTACATTTCACCTTTCATTTGGGATAGTGTGCAAAACTTGCACAATAACATGTTACATATCCTACTAATAACATTCATTACGGAGTATTTAAGTTTTCTTTCTAACATCCCTTCCGTTGCTGATTGTTTGATTTATTAATTTCATGTTATTGCACTGGTAATGTTTTATTTATTTTTTATTTATTTATATATATTTGTATAACTAGTTTGTTGGTGGATTTATTTAATCTTTGGGTTATGTCATCGTACGTGTGTCTTGGGTACTAAGTTAGTGTGCCTTGATATTAGCTAAAGCATACTGAAAGACCCACTAGCTACCCGTGTCATGTGTCACAATTTTTAAAAGGGCGGCCCACTAGGCCAAATAATGTCGAACCATGTTAAACACATACTTCGCAAGTTTAAATGGCATATGCCAAATTTTATTTATTTTATCATATTTATCACATCATATCATGTCATTTTTTAAAATGAAAAAAACGTGGTTCATACATGGCCCACAACCCAACACGCACAAGAATACTTTGGTCCTAAACAGGCCCAAAGCTATGTTTACACTCATCATAAAATCTCCAAAGAGAAATTACATCGGCAATAAAGCATAGGGTTATAATCATTATCGTAACTTTCTCTATTAGTACAAGTTTACAACTTATAGTTGGAGACTTGGAGTATCTTTACAAGACATGTGAACCCACAAGAAGTTTAACTTATGTTTAAACGTACTTGATAATCACAAGAATAAGTATGGTAGGTTAGGAAGCCCTTTTCAATAGACACATTTAGCATGTCTCACTAAACGACATTGTATTTCGTAAATTGTAATGATTAATTCAAACTTAATTATAAATTACGTGTAAAATGTAAATTAAGTAAGCAAAACATCAAGGAGTGATTAGAGTGATTTTATACAGGTGGTGCATGTTAATTTGAGTACAGCTAATTAGCAACTATAGTCTGTTAAAAAGCCTTTTATACTATGGGCTAAATATTGTTTAGGTAATTTAAACTGAAAATTATACCCTACATCCTAGTGTAGGATGGTCTACCTACACCCCCTGATGCTACGCCGTTTTGTAGCTTGCGGGGAGTACTCACGAGCTAATTCATGCTTCAATTCTTTCCTTTTTTTTATTTATTTTTTTAATTCCTTGTTTCTTATTATTCAAGCTATGTATATAAATGATTTTAAACCCAATATTTTCTCTCTCCTCAATTGATCAATTTCCATTTTTCTACCTACATTCTCTCTAGTTAATTCATCTTCTTCATTTGATTTTATACTAATTTTGCCGTTTATTTTTCCTACGATTTTGATAATTGTTGTTGATCATCAATGGCTGATTCTTCCTCTGCTAATTTCGATCGTGATTACGAAAGTGTGTTTCCGTCTTCTAGAGTTCGATTGATTGATTCGTTTGTTCATCAACAATGTGAGTAATTACAATCATAATTTTGTAATTTTTATCATCAATACATTGTTGTGTTATAATGCTCTGTTTATTTCAACTTAATTTATGTATTATTATTCTTTTCGTTGCTTCAATTTTCAAAATTTGATTATGATTATGATGAACGTTTTTGGATTGTTCATACTTTGTTATGAATATTTCGCTGCTTCAATTTATTTCATTGCTCTATGTTTGAAAATTGCGTGATTTTGTTTTTATGCTTTTATTTTTTTTTTTGGATCATTTTTATATTTAAAATTAATCAATTATGTGTTATCATTTGTACTTCTTAATTTTTTTATGTCATATATGATTATTTGTTTTTACCATTTTTTCTTGATAATATTATGTGTCAAAATTTTCCATATTGATCATGTGCAATTTTGCTATTGAACATTGTATTTGTTAATTATTGTTCATTTTTGAAACATGTTATGTTCATTTATAATTGTACATTAAAACTTTGTGCAATGAGAAAAAAAACTGATATTTCATATCTTGCTAAGGTTTTGATCTTATCTGTTTATTTAAGTGTTTGAAATTGAACATTTATATATTTTAATATGATCATTTAACTTTTATTTGAAGGCGAAGGATTTAGTGTTTAAAGGATTTAATATGATCATTTTTTGAAACTTGTTATGTTCATTTATAATTGTATATTAAAACTTTGTGCAGTGGGAAAAAAAAAGCTGATATTTCATATCTTGCTAAAGTTTTGTTTTTCTTATCTGTTTATTTAAGTGTTTGTAATTGAACATTTATATATTTTAATATGATCATTTAATTTGTTTTGTAGTCGAAGGATTTAAATATTCCTATAAATAAAAGTGTTGCTGGTGTTTCTGCTGCTCAAGCTCAATGTAATGTTCCTATAAATAAAGGTGGTGCTGGTGTTAAAAATGATGCTCAAGTTAATCCAAGAGTACTAATGCGTCTACAAAATCTCAAACTAGATATTTTGTTCCACCCGTAGTTCTTGGCATTGTTCCAACTTCAACTCAGGATTGTTCAAACTTCAATCTAGAAATGTTTAAACCCCATTCCAGAAATGTTCAATCGACAAATGTTTAAGTTATTCCTCCCACGGTTCCAATAAATGATCAAGGTGCTCTTGTTCAAAGTTCTTCAAGTGTTAAAGACATAAGAATTTGTTTCTATATAGTACCTTTTTTAGTATATTGTTTTTTTAAAATTCAACATATGTAAATGATTATTTATCAATTTGAAAATGAACAAAAGTAAAGAACCAACAACCAATCCATAAAACCTAAAAATTATATATATTTTTTCATACAAATAAAGATTAAAATGAAATATCAATTACAATAATTTTTTTAACAAATAATATCTATAAGTCTATTTTCCTCCAAAAAAAATCATCTATAAAACTATATACTTCCTCCGTTTTCTTTTACTTGCAACACACCTTTTAGGCACGCAATTTTAGGAGATGATTAGTGAGGGTAAACGAGCTATTTTATCAATATAATTTTTACACGAAGATTAGAATAGGGTTAAGTATCATTTGTAAAAATTATAATGAATAATTTATCCGTTTACATTATATAAACCCGACCTCAAAACACGTGCCACAAGGCTGTGTTGCAAGTAAAAAGAAATGGAGGAAGTTTAAGATATGATCATATACACATTCATTAATGAACATATACACTTTCATAAATGAACATATAACATGTACTATTCATTTGCAAACTTCCTTGCTTATCTTCGATTTAACCTATATTTAGTGTTTTTCTTCAAATAGCATCAGTTCCGCATCCTTGCTTCCTAATTTGGTTCACCTGTTGAACAAAATGAATTAACAAATGTTAATTATTATATACACTACTTTATAAATGAACAATATATCTTACATTATTGAACATTTATCACTTTTACACTATTTGGTTTCAAATCACAAATCTAACTCTCATTAAGTTTAGTAGTGAATGTTTCTATATGCTTCATAATTTATACTCCGCAGTTTGTATAATCAGCGTTGTTAAGCCATTTTATCTTCTCCAAAACAACTACGTATTCTTCAATTCCATGTGCAAATTTATATCAAATGTGTAACTTTGGACATCACTACAATATAGCTAGATTGGTTGTAAGATATTAGTTTTAATGCATACAAATGAACATTATCAATATTATACATGAGGATAATGTATAAAAGAAATGAACATTCGTTATTTAGGCATATAAATATATATGTAAACTGAAATGAACCAATATTAACATATATTTTAAAATGAACATTACTTTATATGTAAATGAACATTATGAATTTCATAAATGATCAAAAGATTTGATAGAATAAATAAGTCAGTTTCTCAACTCAAATGAATGATTATTTATGCATTTCATAAATGTGCATAACATATCATAAAAATGAACATTATTTATTTAGGCATATAAAGTCAAATATAAACTCAAATAAATTCAAATATACAAATGAACATTTATAATTCTATATATGTTCATATATTAACTCGGAATCGTAGAAATGTTAACATCTATACCATAAGACTTTTTAATATCTTTTAAAAGTTCTAGATCTACAACTTGAGACTTTTGTTCGTTGTTTTTTTTTACTCTTGTTTAAATAGGTTTTTGAAATAATACTTACGTTTCTTCAGACTATGCCTTGTTATGTTCAACGAACATGATTCTTCTCTGAATCATCATTCTCTTTATCTCTCTAATTCGAAATATATTTTTCGGTTCTGTAAAAAATAAAAAAAACACAAAACATAGTAGATTTTAATGATTTTTGCATAAAATAGTTCTAATCAAGTTAGATTATGTTTCTGAACATGTAATTTCAAAATGAAATACGTAGTAGAAAAAATAGGTTCATACAAAAAAATTTAGTAAAATTACTTACTCTTTCTGTGAATGTTGTTGCGATTGTTGAATTTCTTCGCAAATGTAGACATTTGAAGGAATTTAGCAATATTTTGAAGCAATTTCGTAGTATTTTGAAGCAATTTTGTAGTATTTTGAAGCAATTTTGGTTCATATTTTCTAGTTTTGATGAGAGAGAAAGTCTAGAGAAATGAAGAAGAAGGTTTTAGAGAGAATGGTGGGTAGTTACAGTAGGTTAGTGGGTTATGGGATGTGGGTAACATGATAAACGCATCGTTTAGAGGGGGGTGTAGGTATCCCTACCTACACTAGGGTGTAGTGTATACCAATTAAGAAAATAGAGGTATGATATGCGGCCCAAAAGTCAGCAATTGTTCGACCCAAACAAAGTAATTTTAAAAAAATGTTTTATTTTATTTTTTGACTTCACATACTACCTCCGTTATATATTAGTTGTAATTTTGGGGTATTATTTGTGAGATATAAAATGTTTCAAAGCTGTAACTAATATTTAACGGAGGTAGTAATTTTTTTTACTCTTTTTGTATTAATGCGAATGTCCCATTATTCGAAATAATAATAATAATAATAATAATAATAATAATAATAATAATAATAATAATAATAATAATGCGAATGTCCCACCTTAACCATTAACATTAATTGTATTTTGGCAATTTTTTTTTTGATGACAAATTCAATTATTAAAGTTATAGGATTTTTTGGATTGAATAAAGGCAAGAAGCCAATTCAAGGATGGGCTAAAGGAAATATATTCGTATAATCCATTAATCTCCCAAGTTGGGTGTCAAATGGAGTAATATCAAAACACAATCCCAATGATTAATGAGTTGTCATATACGTCACTAGGGCTCACTACATCTTATTCTTCAACGGATTCCACCTCAAAAATCCTAATCTTTCTACTAGTATTTTCTTTTATATATTTTGGATTATCCTTATTTTAGATTTTAAGGAGGATTCTTAAAAAATACCATTCAATGAATATTCAATGACGGATAATGCTAAGTTACAACCATTACACTATTTGAAGATATTCAATACCGCTACATTATCTAAACCTCATTAAAGATTTTAAATAATATAACTAGCCTTTTGACCCGTTTAATGCACGGGTTGCTATTTAGGTTAATTTTCTTGAAATGTGTTGCATATATATTTGTGTTATATGCGTCGGTGTTGTTTTGGAATTTAATTAGGTATTTTACATAATATTGTAGGATATGAAATGACATATTGGTTAAAATTATATTTTAAATTTAAGAGATGAAAAGACTATTTTATTGTTTATGTAATGTGCATTAATTAGTTTAACTTTAATTTATTAGGTTATAAATGAAACACTTCATTATCTTACTTAAATTTACAAGTTTCAGAATGCATAAAGACTTACACATTATTTATTTATTTTATTTTTTATATTAAAAAAGAAATACAAAAAGGTAAAAAGGAAATATTAAGGGAAGTGACATGTGGCATATGAGTGATTGTGATGACATGTGACTCGGTATAGATTTGTGGTTTGTGTTTTTAAATACTAAGTATAGATGTGTCAATACCTTACATTATCCTTTTTAACTGACTTTACACTAAAATATTGAAATCATGATCAAACATCAAACAAATTAGGTATGTGAAAGTATAATTTATTAGAGAAACTTGGTTAATTGAATTTCATATAGATACTTATGCATTGAAGTCAAAAAGTGTAGATTAAAAATAAAAAAAATCATTAATAGTTGATTATTAATGACATCACACATAGAATTGGAGGGAAAATTTTTAATGTGAGAGTGATACGTAGGATGGTTTAAGAGTTGATGATGTCAGCAATGTTTTGTTTTAGTGTTAGTTAATAGAATTTGAGTATTGATGATTTTTTTTGGAAGTAGATATTCAATTTGGTAAACACAAAAAAAAAAAAAAAAAAAAAAAAAAAAAAAAAAAAAAAAAGGGGTAATTTGCCAATTCAGCTGGCCCTGATTAATCCTTAATCAAGATGTGTGGCCCATCCAAAGTCAAATACCATGGGATGGCTTTAGCTAAATTAAGCCAATTATCACGATTCACGAATGTGTGATGGGCCCACCTCGAATTAGGAAAAAGAAAACTTCCTTCCATGTGGGCCACGTGTCTGATTACGATGAAAGTCCAGGTTCAAGGATATTCTTAATCCTTGTTTAAATTTAATTGGTATACACTAGACCCTAGTGTAGGTAGGGATACCTACACCCCCCTCTAAACGATGCGTTTATCATGTTACCCACATCCCATAACCCACTAACCTACTGTAACTACCCACCATTCTCTCTAAAACCTTCTTCTTCATTTCTCTAGACTTTCTCTCTCATCAAAACTAGAAAATATGAACCAAAATTGCTTCAAAATACTACAAAATTGCTTCAAAATACTACGAAATTGCTTCAAAATATTGCTAAATTCCTTCAAATGTCTACATTTGCGAAGAAATTCAACAATCGCAACAACATTCACAGAAAGAGTAAGTAATTTTACTAAATTTTTTTGTATGAACCTATTTTTTCTACTACGTATTTCATTTTGAAATTACATGTTCAGAAACATAATCTAACTTGATTAGAACTATTTTATGCAAAAATCATTAAAATCTACTATGTTTTGTGTTTTTTTATTTTTTACAGAACCGAAAAATATATTTCGAATTAGAGAGATAAAGAGAATGATGATTCAGAGAAGAATCATGTTCGTTGAACATAACAAGGCATAGTCTGAAGAAACGTAAGTATTATTTCAAAAACCTATTTAAACAAGAGTAAAAAAAAACAACGAACAAAAGTCTCAAGTTGTAGATCTAGAACTTTTAAAAGATATTAAAAAGTCTTATGGTATAGATGTTAACATTTCTACGATTCCGAGTTAATATATGAACATATATAGAATTATAAATGTTCATTTGTATATTTGAATTTATTTGAGTTTATATTTGACTTTATATGCCTAAATAAATAATGTTCATTTTTATGATATGTTATGCACATTTATGAAATGCATAAATAATCATTCATTTGAGTTGAGAAACTGACTTATTTATTCTATCAAATCTTTTGATCATTTATGAAATTCATAATGTTCATTTACATATAAAGTAATGTTCATTTTAAAATATATGTTAATATTGGTTCATTTCAGTTTACATATATATTTATATGCCTAAATAACGAATGTTCATTTCTTTTATACATTATCCTCATGTATAATATTGATAATGTTCATTTGTATGCATTAAAACTAATATCTTACAACCAATCTAGCTATATTGTAGTGATGTCCAAAGTTACACATTTGATATAAATTTGCACATGGAATTGAAGAATACGTAGTTGTTTTGGAGAAGATAAAATGGCTTAACAACGCTGATTATACAAACTGCGGAGTATAAATTATGAAGCATATAGAAACATTCACTACTAAACTTAATGAGAGTTAGATTTGTGATTTGAAACCAAATAGTGTAAAAGTGATAAATGTTCAATAATGTAAGATATATTGTTCATTTATAAAGTAGTGTATATAATAATTAACATTTGTTAATTCATTTTGTTCAACAGGTGAACCAAATTAGGAAGCAAGGATGCGGAACTGATGCTATTTGAAGAAAAACACTAAATATAGGTTAAATCGAAGATAAGCAAGGAAGTTTGCAAATGAATAGTACATGTTATATGTTCATTTATGAAAGTGTATATGTTCATTAATGAATGTGTATATGATCATATCTTAAACTTCCTCCATTTCTTTTTACTTGCAACACAGCCTTGTGGCACGTGTTTTGAGGTCGGGTTTATATAATGTAAACGGATAAATTATTCATTATAATTTTTACAAATGATACTTAACCCTATTCTAATCTTCGTGTAAAAATTATATTGATAAAATAGCTCGTTTACCCTCACTAATCATCTCCTAAAATTGCGTGCCTAAAAGGTGTGTTGCAAGTAAAAGAAAACGGAGGAAGTATATAGTTTTATAGATGATTTTTTTTGGAGGAAAATAGACTTATAGATATTATTTGTTAAAAAAATTATTGTAATTGATATTTCATTTTAATCTTTATTTGTATGAAAAAATATATATAATTTTTAGGTTTTATGGATTGGTTGTTGGTTCTTTACTTTTGTTCATTTTCAAATTGATAAATAATCATTTACATATGTTGAATTTTAAAAAAACAATATACTAAAAAAGGTACTATATAGAAACAAATTCTTATGTCTTTAACACTTGAAGAACTTTGAACAAGAGCACCTTGATCATTTATTGGAACCGTGGGAGGAATAACTTAAACATTTGTCGATTGAACATTTCTGGAATGGGGTTTAAACATTTCTAGATTGAAGTTTGAACAATCCTGAGTTGAAGTTGGAACAATGCCAAGAACTACGGGTGGAACAAAATATCTAGTTTGAGATTTTGTAGACGCATTAGTACTCTTGGATTAACTTGAGCATCATTTTTAACACCAGCACCACCTTTATTTATAGGAACATTACATTGAGCTTGAGCAGCAGAAACACCAGCAACACTTTTATTTATAGGAATATTTAAATCCTTCGACTGCAAAACAAATTAAATGATCATATTAAAATATATAAATGTTCAATTACAAACACTTAAATAAACAGATAAGAAAAACAAAACTTTAGCAAGATATGAAATATCAGCTTTTTTTCCCACTGCACAAAGTTTTAATATACAATTATAAATGAACATAACAAGTTTCAAAAAATGATCATATTAAATCCTTTAAACACTAAATCCTTCGCCTTCAAATAAAAGTTAAATGATCATATTAAAATATATAAATGTTCAATTTCAAACACTTAAATAAACAGATAAGATCAAAACCTTAGCAAGATATGAAATATCAGTTTTTTTTCTCATTGCACAAAGTTTTAATGTACAATTATAAATGAACATAACATGTTTCAAAAATGAACAATAATTAACAAATACAATGTTCAATAGCAAAATTGCACATGATCAATATGGAAAATTTTGACACATAATATTATCAAGAAAAAATGGTAAAAACAAATAATCATATATGACATAAAAAAATTAAGAAGTACAAATGATAACACATAATTGATTAATTTTAAATATAAAAATGATCCAAAAAAAAAAAAATAAAAGCATAAAAACAAAATCACGCAATTTTCAAACATAGAGCAATGAAATAAATTGAAGCAGCGAAATATTCATAACAAAGTATGAACAATCCAAAAACGTTCATCATAATCATAATCAAATTTTGAAAATTGAAGCAACGAAAAGAATAATAATACATAAATTAAGTTGAAATAAACAGAGCATTATAACACAACAATGTATTGATGATAAAAATTACAAAATTATGATTGTAATTACTCACATTGTTGATGAACAAACGAATCAATCAATCGAACTCTAGAAGACGGAAACACACTTTCGTAATCACGATCGAAATTAGCAGAGGAAGAATCAGCCATTGATGATCAACAACAATTATCAAAATCGTAGGAAAAATAAACGGCAAAATTAGTATAAAATCAAATGAAGAAGATGAATTAACTAGAGAGAATGTAAGTAGAAAAATGGAAATTGATCAATTGAGGAGAGAGAAAATATTGGGTTTAAAATCATTTATATACATAGCTTGAATAATAAGAAACAAGGAATTAAAAAAATAAATAAAAAAAAGGAAAGAATTGAAGCATGAATTAGCTCGTGAGTACTCCCCGCAAGCTACAAAACGGCGTAGCATCAGGGGGTGTAGGTAGACCATCCTACACTAGGATGTAGGGTATAATTTTCACTATTTTCTCCCAGCCTATGGGCCGTCACATTAATTTCTGAAATTACCTCATTTAAAGAATACTCGTTGAATCGGCGACCAAAATGTCGGGTTTAAACGACGAAAATGGCTGCCGGGAAAAGTCGCCGGACCTAATATTCCGGTGTATTGTTTCCAGTATTTCCGGCATCATCGCTCAATTTTCCCTACTTTTCATACCGTATTTCTTCCCACAATTCTCTCTCCTACTTCAATTCCTCCTCTCAGGTAATTTAGCCCTACTTCCATTAATAAGAAGCTCAATCAATTTCTAGGGTTTTTAATAATTTTTTAATTATTTATATTTAATCATTAATTGCAGCTGCAGTTCTTGCAATTGCTATTGGATTATGCCAGTTTATCAAGCGTTTGCTGAGAGTTCATGCTTCAGCCCCGGCTTTTGTATTTTTTCATATGATCTTCTTTTGGATTGTTTATATTAGCGTGATTAGTCAAGGTAATTTTGATTAATCGTACTTTGAATGTGTAACTTGCATTTGCTTTAGGCAATTTAATTAATAATTGGAAAGATTATTGTTGTTGATGATTAGGTTTTAATATGATTTGCATAATTGGGTGAAATTTAACTAGTCTTTCTGCTTGATTATCAGATTTAAGTTAAGTTCATTCGCGGGTTGTAATGTTTCTTATACATATGCTGAAAAGTTGACAAATGATTTATTGCATAATCAGTTTTACCTTGATAGTGAGATTATTATTCTCTCCCATTTCAAATCAAGTACTTGTATCTTTTAAGGCTATGCACACGTATTAGTTATTTACGAGGTAATTATAGAATAGGAAAATTTTGTTTTGTTAATTGGATTGATTATGCAATAGAGAGAGTAAATAATTATGCTGAAACCTCAAATACCTGGTTTGGTACGTTTTGTGTTCGATGCTCCATTAGAGCTTGTTTTGATGCCTGCTTTATCACATAGTTCAGAAATAGGCATTGCATGTTCATTTGAAAAATATTCATTGGTGCAAATGAAAATGTGTTAAGTCTCTTAAGGTTTCTCTTCTTTTGATCATCACTCGACTTTTGGTTTGCTTGGTTTGCAGCCGTTTCAATTCCGTCAAATGTTGTATTCAATGCAGAGCTAGCAATTCTTCTTATTGGGTTTTTGAGGTGAAGTTATTTATCACTCTTTTACTTTTGAAGCACCACTGATGTGCTGCTCACAATAGCAAATACTTGCTTGGCTTCAGGATCTTATCAAGTGATCCTGGTTTTGTTCGCCAGGACTCTCCCAGTTTAGTTGAGGGTTCAAATTCAGAAGATGGGCTTCATCTGGAGGACGTGGAGGTTGTGAATTAGAAACAACACTTATTGTTCTGGAAATAATTTGCTTAATGAGCTTGATGTCGAATGTTTACAGGAAGTATCATCTACAACAAGAGGCATAAGCTTGCACAACTCAAGTGAAATGGTAAATTTACATATGCTATATTCTGTTTGAGGGCTATTATGCCTCGTGTAAATACTTTCTGTCACTTATATTTGTTATCCTACTGTCTTTGACCCATGTCTTTTGCTCATTTACAAAGTTGATCATTAAGAATGTAAAATTCAGTCTTTTTTTACATCTCCTCTGGATTTCAATTGCAAATTTAAGATCAACCTTGACTTTAAGTCTTAAACTATCATGTAAGAAGATGGTTCATGTTGCCTTTTTCCCTTTTTAGAGTTCGTTATTTTCAAGAAGGACGCGCTATTGTAGGATTTGCAAAGCCTATGTTATTGGATTTGATCACCATTGCCCTGCTTTTGGAAACTGCATAGGTAACAACAGAGCATGAATTTAAAGATTAGACCTTAAACATGCTGCTCAAAATTTAATGACATTTTACACTACACTAGATTTTGTATATTTTGAATATGGTGTATCATTTTTTTTCCTACTCATTTTTGCTTCAGCTTCAGAAATCAGAATATTTATGTCTGATCATCTACTTGTCTGCAGGCCAGAGCAATCATAGGCTTTTCATGTCACTTTTAATTATATTCATAATGATCGAGGCATCCTATACAATGCTTTCTTATCAGTGTAAGCTTTATTTCCCTTTTGAATGATTTTCTTAATCTGTTGCATAATCTCTTTCTCTGTTCTCTCCCGCAATAGAATTAACATGCAAGTGTTATAGCACTTAGAGGAATTAGCGCTGAATTCCATATTTCCATTTGGTATTTTGATCTCTATACAATTTTTTTCTTGTCTACTCATCTACAACTAATCCACCCCCCCCTCCCCCCCCCCCCCTCCCCTTTCCAGTATTAAGTACTGAGCATAAAGTTTGCCTGGATTTCAGGGATTAACAGAAATCTGGTCTTGACAGAGAGGGGCTCCAAGGTAAATCTTTCATTGTTTCTCACCGTTTAGAGTATCTTATTTATTATAATCATCTATGTATAACTGGAACTTCAGGGCAGGTACCCCGACATATTATTCACATGTTCATCTAATGTAGCTTTGCTTGCGGAATTTTCTTTTGTTGCAGATTCAATACAGCTTGGTCATGAGCACGATGAACTTTTCTTTGCTTCAAGTGCTTTGGCAGGTTTGTGCAGTTCATGGAGAATAGTGGATTCAGTGACGGGAAATGAATTGAATTACTAGTTGACTTTACTCATGATTATATTATACAGGTGGCTTTTTTTGCATGGCATGTAAATTGTGTTTGCCTCAATATAAGAACTGAAGAATGGGTAAGTTTTGTATGTAACATCTTGACCAATAAGTAGACATCTTATCATAAGCACAACAGCATAACTTAAAAGTCAAAAATGGTTGTATTCGTGGTAAAAAGATTGAAATTCGAAAGACTTGCTTGGAATTTAACAGAGAGCTGACACTTTACATGCAAGAGATTAACAATTTTTGTAGTGTGCTAACATTGTCTGTAATTTGCATGCTTATGTGTATGTAGATAAATTGGAGAAGATACCCAGAGTTCCATGTCATTGTTCAGCCTACACCAGGTAATTTCAAAAAGTCTAGGCTTCTTGTTCTGTTCTGGGAGTTCTGCCTCCTGCTTCCATTGATGATGTAATTCTTTTCTTCATACATACATCATATCTGCCTAATGTAATTATTATTGTATGAAATAGATCAATCTTTGTCAGATACGAGGTTCAAGAATCCGTATAATAAGGGACTTTTATGCAACTTGAAGGAGTTCTTGCTGAGTTGAGATCAATGGTTCACTACTCATTGAGTCTCTTGGGTAAGTAAAATTGTTACATCCTGTACTGGTTTAGTGCCCTGACTATGGTTTTGATTGATATCAGACCTTGAGTCTTGAATTTGAATTCTGTTTAGTTACTTGTATGTGTTGAGGTTATGTCTAAGGTCCCTATAACTCTGCTGCCAATGAGTTCTCATGTATATATTATTGTTAATTGGTCAACAATTGTAGACTTGTGGATTCTCATGTGTATGACACAAAATTCTACGTTTACTTAGTATGCCGTCTTTCTGGATCATCCTTTTGTCTTTAGATATTCTGGTATTTCTGTATTCATAGCTAGTGCCTTTTATAGTTCTTTCGGCTAAATTCATTATGAGCCCAGATGTGAATTTGCAGTATTGCAGGATGTCTTTTCAATCCATTTCTCTTTTAGAATAGTTATTTAACGCAGTATGTCCATGACACTATTGCATGTATTGCATTTTCATAAATGTTTGGATATATGTCATAAATCGAATTATCTAGCTACACTTCATACTGAATCTATTTATACCTGTATTTTTTCCCATCTATTCTAAGTTTGTGGACTACTGGAGCAACTGCTATCTGCCCTGCCTACATCCCTTCGTGTTTCCCATGTGACATGACTACCCATGTACGTTTTTTGTGACCGTGATTTCCATGTTCTCTATTATGATTATTGAATCATTTCACGTATCTGGATTGTTCTACTTTGTAAGTTTTGTTCTAAGATTCTCAAGACATGGAATTGTGCTTGGCCTATTGCCTTGGATCAATGGCTATTTGTTGCGAGTAGTAAATCCTAATACGTCCAAATTATAATGGTTTGCAAGAATGGAAGTATACAACTGCAATTGATAAACACAGAATTTAATTGCACAAAAACACCATCTTACATCAGTTACACGTACTCAATTCCATCACAGGGGTTCACTTCCAAACAAGCAAATTACTTAGACACAACAACTAACTTATTCAATTGAAATGACAGTAATTAACATTGAGCACACTTCTAACAGATATTGGGACCTTTTTAAGCAGAAGAGATATCGATGCTCTTGACCTCAGGTTTCTTCTCTTCCACCTTTGAAATAGTCACAGTAAGCACTCCATTATCCAAGTCAGCCTTAACCTCATCCATCTTTGTGTTTTCAGGTAGCCTGAAGCGGCGAAGGAACTTACCACTGCTCCTCTCAACACGGTGCCACTTGTCGTTCTTCTCTTCTTGCTCCTTGCTTCTTTCTCCACTTATCTGCAGGATCCTGCCTTCTTCGACCTCGACCTTCACTTCTTCCTTCTTCAGCCCAGGAAGATCAACTTTGAAAACATGTGCTTCTGGTGTTTCCTTCCAATCAACCCTTGTGCTTGCAAATTGGGACGTTTCACGAGCTGAGCTGGGTACATTGGCAAGGGCTGAAGTGAGAATGCCATCAAATGGATCCCAAGTGTCTAGGGAAAATGGATCAAAGACATTGGTTTTTCGGTTACCAAAGAAGCTTGGAATGAGCGACATTTTTGGAGGATTGTTTGAGCTGTGCACAGGTGATTTAAGGGTTTACTGAATTGAGATTGGGATTGAACTTCTTTAGTGTGTTTTCTATGTTGATGATAGAACTGAAAGTGCATTGCATATATTTATACATGATTGTAATGAGATCTCGGAGTTTCTGGGCACTTCCTCCAATAGTTTAATATTATGATGTTTTTGTTAAATCAATTTTGAGGGACCCAGATAATGTAGCTCTTATTTCTACAATCTTCTGAAGGCTTCTTTATCCTAATTTTCATCAATGCCTAAATCACTATGATGATTGTTTCCTGTATCCTGTTCTACAACATTCTAGGACCTTACATAAAACTCAATCAATCAAAGCCTTAATTCCATAAGTGGGGTTGGCTACATGAACCAAATTTAATTATTTCGTGTAGTCACCTACAAAAATCTTCCTCCTCCATCCCTTACGATCCAATGCTTTATCCTCATGCAAATCTATATACTTCATATCCTTCCTAACTCCTAACCAAGTCATTTTGGGTCTCCCTCTCCCTCGTTTAACCCCCTCTATGGATTCTATGACCTTACAGACTCGAAAAAAAAATTCAAACTAACTAGCTTAATAATGCATAAAAAAAAAAATACATACAATAATACAGAGATGATTCAAATCTGAAATGGACCAAAAATTTATCTAAGGTATAAGTTTCCTTGGGAAAAACAAAATTTAAAATGATTTCTCACGTTTTTTTTAGTACATACTCCTTAGTACTAAATTTTACATGTGCTAACGCGCAAAATATATAATACTGGTAAAATATATACTACGTATATTATATTATATTATACGAAGCACAAAAGTTTATTAAATTCAAAAAAACAAAAAGCACGAGTTTATTATTATAAGAGGGCAAATTTGCATGTCTTTAACAGTGTGATTAATTAATCTATGGTTTCCAATTTCATTTCCTTGAAATAATATTAATTGTCAATTTTCTAATTATATTTATAATTATTGCTTGATAATTTTTTCCATATTTCTAATTTTTTACTTGGCTTATTTTGTTTTGTTAGAGTAGTTAAGAGGTGAAAATTGGGGATTTGGATGCGTCTCATTCATCCTACTTCCCCCCCCCCCCCCCTAATTTAAGATTCCGTATCTACAATGTTGCATATAATACGGAGTACCACATTAAGGATCCATAGTTTATTGATGTTTAAACATTAGTACTCTACCCATGAATGGAAATAATACTCCATATTAGTATACTTTGTACGGAGTATAAGACAATACGAAAGAGAAAGGTCTAACGTTCACAAATTGCTTTGTAATTATTATATGCTTATACAAATTTACTCCATTATGTTCAATTCCCAAATCGAAATTTACGACCCAAAACTCTAACTAGGTATTTCATTTACTAGATCCTGTGAAAGACTTTCCTTGATCTTTTTTTTTTTGAAGGCTTTCCTAAGTAATTATTCATTAGGTAGCATCAATCTAATTCAATCCTTAATTATTATAAATCCTAAGGTTGGATGGATTAAAGTATATTCTCTAGTATTTTTTTAGGTGTACAAATATCATGAAGAAGGAAACTGGAGATTCTCTCGTGTATTCCAACTAGCTCAACGCTGTAGCAATGGAGGAACTTAGGTGTAAATTTGAAAAATCTTTTCATTAAATTTTTTTATTAGTCCATTATAACTCTATCTATACAATTATTGTTATATATATATATATATATATATGGAAATAAAGATAGAATATCAATTAAAATCATTTTATAATTATAATATTGGCTGTTAGAATTATGTTTACCTTAATCAATAAAAGAAAAAAAAATCAATTTTCCTAATTCTTTGGTTGCATAATTGATAACTCATTTGCCTATATAAATTCTGTATTTAGCTATATTATTATACAAATATAATCCTAAGTACTCTTTAAATTCTTCTTAAATTTTTTCTTTGCACTTTCAATCTATCTCTAAACTCCTTGTCTAATAGCCGGAGCACCATTAGAGAAGTGCAAGTAACTAAAAGACATATTGATTTGATCAAACACCGTATTCAATTATAGGTAAATGTCATATTCTACTATATCTTTGGAATTTGAAATATTAATTTACCTTTTGCTAAATTATACGGAGTACTTCGTAATTATATAGGCACATTTGTACGTATGTTATAGAGGGTGTTTATTATACTTTTTTGTGCTTTAAATTAATGATAATGCTTCAATCTATTGAAGTTATACATCCATGTTCATGAATAAATCACTTACATGCACCTGTGCACATAAATGTTTGATATTTTCTAAAGTATGGAGTGTGTTTAGATTTTTAAATAGTTATATAATTATATAATGTTGGCAAGGATTGTGGCTTCGCGCCAATTCTAGTGTTTTGTCAATTTTTATGGGTAACATATTGCTGATGGGTCAGGGCTTTATAATCTTATATTTCATATATGTGATTCCGCTAGTCTAGTTAGTAGAATTACTTTTATATGGCCCAAATCAAACCGGCAAAATTGACAGAATTCTCAACTCCGGTTCAAGCTCGATTGTATACTGATCTCACCCATGCGCTAGACTTTAATTCTAGTATCCGTACTAATTGATATACATTCATGTGTGCAATTAGACACTAATCCCACTCGTGCAAGTTGTACTAGCATTGTAATAACATACATTAATTACTTTTTATTATAGATTATGAATATTGAAGAAGCATTCAAGTAACATATACCTCCCCGTCAAGAAGTAAAAGTAACGTATATTTTGATGTTAACAATACAAAAAATAATCTCAGTATATTCATTGTCAATTTCATAGATGTGCCTACATTTTTTATTTATTTAACATGGTTTTTCAAATTTACAGGACACCTAGACCGACCTCTCAATCAAAGGCTACAACAACAACAAATTAGAGAAAAATGCATCAAATTCTATTGAAACTCATGTTGATCTGCACGCTAATTTCGTACTGCTATGGTTGTCTCGAAAACTTTACAACAACGAGCTTCGATGAAGGGTTAAAGAAGCTCTATGGAGAAGAAAACATAGTCATTGAAGATGATGGAAACACCGTCTACTTATCCATTGTTAATAACACCGGAGGGTCCGGGTTCATCTCTCAAAACGTTTACCAAAGCGGGTTATTTAGTGCTTCTATCAAGCTGCCATCACCAAACTATACTGCTGGTGTTGTTGTGGCATTCTACTTGTCCAACAATGATAAATATGAGGGGCACCACGACGAGATTGATTTCGAGTTCTTGGGTCATGCTAACGGTCAGGATTGGGTCTTGCAGACTAATATATATGGTAATGGTAGTACCAGCAGAGGAAGGGAAGAGAGGTACACGTTATGGTTTGACCCGAGTGAAAAGGCTCATAAGTATAGTATATTTTGGGGCGAAAATCGGGTTATTTTTTATGTGGATGATGTCCCAATTAGAGAGAATTACAAGGTGAATGGTTTGGGTGGGGATTACCCGTCTAAGCCCATGTCATTGATTGCTACTATATGGGATGGATCGGGTTGGGCTACGAATGGAGGCCGGTTTAAGATCAACCATGAATTTGACCCGTTTGTGGCTAGGTTCTCGGACTTGTTAATCCGTGGGTGTGCATCCGACCCAAATCAGAAGGTTTCTAACTGTGATGATGTGAATGTTTGTGGGAATATAACACTCCAAAACTTAAGGGAATATGAGGAGTTTAGGAGGCAACATCTTACATACTCCTATTGCCATGATAAGAACAGGTATAACCCCCCTTTGCCTGATTGTTTGGTTGGTCCAACAGGTGGTAGGCCTAGTTGAAACATTAATTAATATTCACGTTTGGAAGATGATTTTATTGATTGTTCATATTCTTTTCGAATGATTATGCCCAAGATGTATTGTAGTCATTGTTATATTTCATTAATTCTTTTCGAATAAAAAATTCATATTTAGTAGATGATAATTCATTTTATGTTGTTTGCCTATGATTGATAAAGAATTGAAAGTGCTGCGAGTATTTACATCAACAGTAAAATTTATTCTTGTAAACTGGACTTGTTATTTTAACTTAAAGGGGGGAGTGTGAAATGATCTTTTTGCTCGAAACCCTTACTTTAGATGACCAAAACTATATAGCATGAAGATGGACACAAAACAGCAATGTTGAATTCAAACCCAGAATTTTGATGAAAGTACTTCAGAATAGCATGCAGATAGCATAGATTACACGATGAGTTCGATAGATAAAATTAATTGGTCTCACCCTCATTTTTACTGGTAGAAGTCATGCTTTGATCGTTGCTCATGAAAACGTCTGTGAGGACCGTACTGGAATAAAATGCAGTTCTCACCAGCTCTAAAGCCAGTCAAACACTCAAAATTAATTTTCAAGTAAGCATTACAGTATTAACAATTTCCTGAACGTTATTCAGAAGTCCAGAATTATACTTACATGAATTTATAGAATGTAACTATCATATTTTCTAGAACAATTGTAATTAAACTTAAGGTTGAATAATGAGTAAACTGTGACATATTCTTAAAAATGTAGTCCGGGGAAATGTGACAAGTAACTTAGTATGGAAACGAAAAATATGAATAGGGCAAGAGAAAGACCTTTTTACCATCGACCTCAACAGTCATCTCTTGGAGGAAGCTGATATCTTTGACGCCATGTATGTTGAAGAGATTAATGCTCGAGATGGTTGAGCAAGGTGTTATCGAGAGATCATCCTTCACCATGTAGTTAGCAGCACCCTTAACATACCCATCTATCTCATCCCGGCTAGATTGGGAGTAGGAGGAGTAGTTACTGTTGCTGAGAACAAATGCACAAAATCTTAAGAGAAATGGTGAAGCAAATGCTAAGGTGAACACTTCAGTAATACCAATCTAACATATACTTGTACTTCTTATGTGCTAGATAAAGTTAGAAGTATGAAGTATTAACCAAGTCTGTGGAATCATGCATACTTAACTTAGGCCTTTAGCTTGAAGATGTATACACCTAGTTCTTATATTGTGCACAGGGAGCATTCAAAAGCTTATACAACGGCGTGTACATGTATTGCAATTGAAGAATTGGAATACGAGCTCTACTTGTATGATGTCCAATAAGGATAATTTATTTATCAGCTCTCGTTTACTGAAAGTTTAATGCTTCTACTATTTCATCTGGGTGTATGATCAAGCCCTATGTGGCTGTGTGTGTGTGTAACACCCTGGTGTATATGTATTGTTATGAATCAATTATTCAATTATACAAAATGATGCAAACAAGAAAGTGAAAATTAAAGAGAACAAGTTCAAGAATTGAGTAATTTTGAAGCAAGCAAAAAAGCAAAGCAAAATTACAATGAAAAGGTGGTGACAATCAAGTGAGGATTTTGTAAGATTCTATGTACACGGGAAGCATAATAAACGACATTACTTGTACTTGAAAATTCAACAACTCGTGTATGTTTCGATTTCAATAGCTTAATAATCACCACATTACAACAACAATTGCAAGTGAAGAGTGTAAAGAATCACTTGGACTCGTGCTTATCAAGTAGGATAGTAATAAAAAGAAAACTCAACAATGTACAATTAAAAGAGTCAGGGCAACTAGTAAACTTAGTAATATAGGTGACAAATGAAGAAGAAATTATACTCCAATTGAAACATTAAACAATAAACTTTAAGGGGATGCCTGAAATGCCAATAATAGGGAAGGAAAAGTTAATGAATAAAAATTCCGACATTTTTTAAGTGTTATATAGGGTAATAGGGATAATACTTTCCCCTCACTTGGTCACTCTTACCTTCCACCACTGTCACCGTCACCACCCCCATCACCGTCACCGTCACCACCTCTATCACCGTCATCGGCACCACCATCTCCCATCTATCTCTTCAACCTTTGTCTTCCTCTACCTCAATCACTCTCCTTGTTCTCTCAATTCCAAATGAGCTTGCCGTTGGAATGAATCAATTAAGTAATATCTTACTCTATGTCGGTTAAAATTGACCAAAGATTTTAGTTTAAAACCTTCAATTGGAGTTGGATTTATCCCATAAAAGAATCTCAATTGCAAATTTGGTATTTATCTCTCTCTCTCTCTCTCTCTCTCTCTATATATATATATATATATATATATATATATTTCCCGGTGGTTTGTGAAATTGTGGTGTTGGAAAGTTGTTGCGGTGATGATGGCTAGTGTCGCCGGTAATAATGGTTGATGGTTACATCTGTCATGTCCCTCAACTTTGTTCTTTAACCCTGCAATAATGCCAAACTTGAGAAAATGAAAATATTAACCCATTAATTGATTCTCCTGTAAGATTTATCCCATTAATACTACCCCCTTAATTATTCAAGGAAATCCAGGCAAGGTCAAAGCCTCTACCTAATTATACCATAAACCTATAAGGCTCTGAATTGATAGTCACATACTCACATACACTATGTTAAAGAATATTCAAACAAAGTTGTCAACTTTCCAAAATTAATCCAGTGTTTAAGTACTACTCCATAGTAAATACTCCGTAGTAATAATAGAGTTTACCCGGACACACATACACGTACCATGCCATAAATATCAAGGATTCAAACAATGAGACAATTAATTTCGAACATAGTAGTAAAATGTACTCCGTAACATACAATTTAGTTCTCCGTAATAATAAAAAAAAATAGAAAGGGTTAGAAAGAGGGGAAGGAGGACTCACACTTGAATTAACTGTTGAAGGACATGAGCCTGCTTGACTTTAGTAACAGATGAAAATTTAGGGTCCAAAACAGAACTCCTGACATCAGATTTCTGAAGGTATGATTCATCAAATAAGTAGATACTTTCATAAAGTTTTTCCAAGGATAAATTAGAATTTCCATCTCTATTTTCGGAATTTTGTTTCAAAAGACGGAGGATTGAACCAAGTGGAATCTCCATTAACCCCATCAAGAAATCAACAAATTCCTTCCCTGCTTCTGCAAATACCACCTTCTTTGTTACACTGTTTACCAGCAACTTCAACTTCACTCCCATTTTTTTCTTTTTCCTGTCAATGGGACTTCCTCTGGCTTGAAAATTGATAGCTACTTTATACGAGTATCACTTATGTCTACTATGCCAGTACTGTCACACAAGATTTGGCTTGAGCACGGTGCATTGGTATCTATTGTGCCAGTATTATACTGACTTTTTACGCTATCCACGTATGTTACTTTTACTTTCACTTATTTAACTGAACTGCTATTCGTCGTTCGCAAATTACTGGGTGACCTTCACATTTTTAATTGAAATGACATTTTTGCCCTTGTGGGTATTTTATCTATTTAAGGGTCCAGCATGGGTAAGTTTAGTTACCGACAACATTAAAAACATTACCGAGCCCACCACTTGTGTTAAAAAAATCCCGAGCATTAAAAAATCCCGGTTCCATCATTGTACGGTAATCCCAAGGAATTTAAAAATCCCGGGCCAGAAAAGGAAAGTGTACGGAGTGATGTTTTACGATGGACGACGACAACGTTCACACGCCGGAGGGTTCGACGGAAGAATCTGTAAGTATTTCGGATTTTTTTTTTTTTTGTAAATAGGACATCCGCTTGATTTTCCCGGAAATCTGGGGGAGATCCGCCCAAAATTTCCGGATGTCCCCAATAACATCCGGAAATTTCAGGCGGATGTACACATCCGGATGAAATTTCCGGATGTAATTAGGGACATCCGGAAATTTTGGGCGATTTCCGGAAAAAACAAGCGGATGTCCTTTTTTTTTTTGTTTTTTTTGTTTTTTTTTACGTAATTGTTATTGTTATTGTTATTATTATTATTATTATTATTATTATTATTATTATTATTATTATTATGGTTATTAATATTAGTTTTGTTAATTTTGTAAATTTCTGTTATGATTATGATTATTATTAATATTATTACTACTATTATTATTACTATTGTTGTTATTATTATTATATTAGTTATTATTTGTTAATGTTACGTAGTTATTGTTGTTATTATTATTATTATTATTAGTATTATTATTGTTATTGTTATTATTATTGTCATTAGTATTATTATTGTTATTATTATTATCATTAGTATTATTATTGTTATTGTTGTTATTATTATTATTATTATTACTATTAAGACTATTATTGTTATTTTTATTATTATTATGATTATTTGTATTATTATTGTTATTATTATTGTTAAATTTAAAATAGTAATCCTTGCGTGTTTTATTTGTTTGTATTGTTATTTTGATAGGATTCGGAGGTTGAAGACGACGGTGACGTTGTGAATTACAGTGCACATTTTGTGACAGACACGGTTTTTCTAATGTTTGACGATGCAGTTACATGGGCGGATGCTGTTGCAATAAATCTGGGATTTATTTTGGTGAAATCGTCTTTCAACAAACAGAGGGATGATCGTCCAGTTCGATATTTAAGATGTGACCGGGGACGCAGGAGTAAGCCGAGAGATCTTGAGAACGCAATTCGGAAGGACACCAAAACCAAGGGCATTGGTTGTCCTTTCTACATCAAGATATGTTACGAGTTCGTCACCAATACTTGGTTTATCCGGGCGAAAGATGATGTAACTGGGACCCACAACCATCCAATGATTGCGTATCCAGAGGGTCATCGTAAAATTAGTGGGTTGAGCCCGAATGCGAAGCAGGTTGTGCGTGACATGACGAAGTCTAAGGTTGCACCGCGTAACATCATGGCGACTATCGCGGAGCAATTTCCTGATGATCATCCAAACATCAGACACATCTACAACTGCCGGAATGACTTCAGAGAGGAGATGTCTGATGGGAGAGGAGTTGTTCAGCAATTTCTACATTTGGCGAAACAGAGTCAGTATGTTTACTGGGTCATGTCCGATGATGAAGGCGTTTTACAGCACGCCTTTATGGCGCATCCAGTCATGGTAGACATCCTACGGACGTACCCCTATGTGATCGGTATAGATTCCACTTACAAGACTAATCGATACGGGATGTCGTTCTTTGAGATAGTTAGCGTGACACCGACAAATCAGAATTTTCTCGTCGCTTACGTGTTCATGCGCAACGAGAGCACGACAAGCTATCGATGGGTTTTGCAGAGGTTGAGAGACGTGATTGGGTATAATAAGGAGCCGTCGGTTTTCTTGACAGACCGTGAGCTTGGGCTATGTGCTGCATTGAGGGAAGTGTTTTCAGGAACCTCGCACTTACTTTGTCGATGGCACATTAACAAAGATGTGGAGGCTCGGGTCACTGCTATGTTCAAAAGCAAGAAAATCGGTGCGTCTTTCAAAAACGGAAAATGGAAACGTATCATGGACGCTGCAACCGAGGAAGATTATGAGGCCGCTGTAGAAAATATGAAAGATAAGTGGGCAAGTTTTCCAGCAGAGATACAATATGTAGAGAACACATGGCTTTGTCATAAAACGAAGTTCGTGACATTTTGGACAAACCAAGTTCTACATTATGGCAACACCAGCACTTGCAGAGTTGAGAGCCAACATTCGGCCGTGAAGATGTGGTTTGATTCCTCGACAAGTTTGGTGTAAGATTATTGAACTTCATGTATGTACTTTTTTTAGGAATTTGAGTTACAAATCATAACGATTTTTCTTTGTAATGTGCAGGTTCTTTAGATACCGTATGGGCTCGAGTTCATAGCCACATTGGTAATCAAATCATCGCAATTCGTAATGGTTTGGAGGCTTCTAGGTCGAAGATAGGTCAAATGTACCGACAGTTGCCACTGTCACGTATAAACGGGAAGGTGTCTCAGCATTGTTTGAAGGTTCTCGATGAGGAGACAAGGAGGATGAAGGAGCTGAGTTATCAAGTGCACGAACGATGTGGATGTGCAATGCGTGTGACCCACGGGTTGCCCTGTGCATGCCAGATACATGATTCGCTAGCTGCTGGGACAGGATTGTACATAAGGCAAATTCACCCGTTTTGGAGGACCTTGGTTATTGATTCTGGAGATGGTGGGACGGTGCCTGGCAATGACTCGACCGAGGATGCTGCACATTTTCGTTCTCTGATGGAGTAGGTGTTTGATAGTGATCCTGCTGTTCTTCGAAACGTGTCTCGCATCATTGAAGAGGAGTTGCATCCGGATCATTCCGATCTCAGAGAGCCTGCTGTAAACCACCGGGTTCGTGGTCGACCAAGAAAAAATGATACAAGACGTGATCGTTCTTATTTTGAACATGTAAACCGCCAACACACTGAACGCGGCGCACGACAAACAGGTACGATTGAGTGTTGTGTTTTTCACATAAATCAGCGTTCACTAAACTATTAACTGAAACCTACATTTGTGCAGGAGATGTAAATGACATTAGCCAAAGCCGTTATCGACACATGCTTCCAGGGCCGATGTTGCCTTACATCACAGGATGGAAGGATGTCATTGGCGATGGGAACTGTGGGTTTCGTTGTGTGGCCGAGTTCTTCTTCGGTGATCAAGGCCGATGGTATGACGCTCGAGAGACAATAGCGAATGAGGTCCTCGGTTATCGAACCCTATATGAGAGGATTTATGGGCTTGGAAGACTTGAGATCAATGTGCAGCGTATTCGATGGGACGGTGGGGCGGTTGATTCCCGTCATTGGATGGTTGCAATACAAGATTTATTTCCTATTGCGACTTGGTTCAACGCAGCGGTTATTATTCTTGGTGTAGGCCAAACACCAACTTGCTACTACCCATGCCTCACGATATTGCCGTTGCGGGCAAGAAGGGGGGTCACAGCACCGGAGCGAGAGTTTGTCATCGCTACAGTTGGGGCCTCACATTTTATTTGTATTGAACTTGCACCTGATTCGCCACTTCCCCCGGTTGCAGGTTGGTGGACCGAGCACCACGACCCAAGTGTTGACGGTCGGGATCAGCGTTACGAAGCTAGAAGGAACATGTGGGATGCCTTAATTAGATAGTGAACATGTTGTTGTACTTTCATTTATGTTAAACAGTTGTCGTTATGTAATTTGCAACGAATTGAACTTAATTAAACAAAATATTTACAAAACCACCAAAACAGTTGTTCAATACTTAAAGTACGTGACGAATAAATAGTACATAAACGAAATGCGTACAAGGGAAATAAAAAAAAAAACAGGAAGTTCACAACCCCATCATCGCCCTCCAATCAGCTCGTAGCGCCTCAGCCATTGCTCTTGTATCACGCGATAGGCTCGGATACTCCTCTAGGGTCCTGTTGATGACCTCCATAGACCGACCCATCCACTTCAATTAAAAAAACAACATATTAAATAAATCACAAGTTTTTTTTTTTAAAAAAACAACATATTAAAAACAACATATTAAAAAAATCGGATTTTAAAAATAACATATTATAAACAACATATTAAAATAGCAACTTATTAAATTATACCAAAAAATACAACTACTTACGTAATCCGTGTTAGTTCTCTCTGGCAGTGTGCGACTCTCATGTGATGACGCAACTGGAGAAACACGTGGATGAGAAAATCGGTACAGCCACTGCATGTAACCAGGACCGACTGTAGGAGCACCACCACCAAGTCTGCTGAGGGCACCTACCACGACACTAAAAGACATACCAGGGACAAACCGAGTCCACATCACAGATGTCATCTCTGGCGAAAAGTCAACCCGATACATCTTCAAGTTCGTCGGTCTCTTAGCCTTCTCAGGCCTGATAATGGCTGGTGGAATGCCCTGGACGTATCCAAGTTGCCGAACCACTCGATCAGGCATGTATGGCTCAATGATGCTACGATACTGGATACAACCAATGAAAAGATTAGCAGGCACGCGTCGTGCTGGATCAACTCTGTATGGTAGCCAGTTAACTTCATTGTCAGTCAAATGATCCAACCTAGCCCGAAAAGCGAGAAAGCGCTCCATGCTCTTGTTAGGGCACCCCAATCCAACATCCCAGGCGGACGCACGAGGAATAGCAAGCTCTCTGGTCAAGGTCCCCTGCTGAGGACGGAAACACGGAAAGTACTCGTAGATCCACGCCTGCAGAAGCGTAAGGCAGCTAGCGATAGAATCAGCATCTCTTCGTGATGTTGTACCCAATTGTCGGTACATGTATGCTAGCACAGCAGAACCCCAGGAGTACTCACTAATCTGAACATCCTCAGCAAACAGCTCGTTGAGGAAGGAAGGATGAGTACGGTTTCCACTCTTGTCCAAAAACAAACAACCGCCGAGTACTAACCACAGGTACGCCCTGTAATGGAAACTGAAGGGCCTCTGCGCCTCCAAGGTCGACTCAACTATCCTCTCATTCAGGACCCCACTACCCTGCCATACGGTTTTGGTACCTCACTTCTCATTCAGCTCTTCCTCAGTCATATCCAAGGTAACCGAGCACGTGTCCCGTAAAACGTCCGTGCTAGGAGTAGTGGATACCATGGAACCGTCGACACGAAACCCTAGAATATGATACACATCATGCAGCATGATCGTGATCTCCCCAAAAGGCATGTGAAACGTGTTCGTGTCTGGCTGCCATCTCTCAACAAAAGCAGAAATTAAGGGCCAGTCAAATCGCCGGAACATGATCCCGGGTAAATGAGATAGACCAGTGCCATCAATCGGTTCCAGGTGCTCCGGCGGAAGACGAGCGCGCCAGTTACCCAATTCAGAACACAACTGTGTCCTGCTCAAACACCGCAGCAAGTTTCGCTCCTGCCCACCCCATATGTAGGCAGACACGTGACCCCCAAAACTCGGAATAACGGTACCATCCTCAGGCCCACCTGGCATCGGCTCCTGCACCACCCATGACTCTGACGAGCTGGTAGAAGCTTGACCTGGTTCACTACTGCTAACATATCTCCCATGGTCACCCCTATACACAGTACGATAATCCTGAGGGTCGTACTGTGCATCTCCAACAGATTGACTTCCTCGATCTTCATCCTCATCCTCATCTGATGAAGGCACTCCAGTAGACGAATACATGGGGGCGCTCCCCTGTGACTGGTGCTCCCCCGACCAAGCACCAGCAGTCCCATACTGCTGCTCATGCTGAAACGGTGCATGTGAAGGTCCTGCACCACCTAACTCCCTCCTAACAGACGCATTCAAACGTCTTGATCTTGCATGACGAGGACCAGAACCCTAAATCTGCATTAAAAAAATAAGTACAGAATCATATTTCAATAATAATTCATAGTCTAAAAAATCAAATCAAAACTATAATAAATCAAATCAAATAAACAATAATAACAGCATTACAAATAATAACAATAACAACACACTAACACACTACAAATAATTTCAACACAATAACAGACCAAATCAAAACTATAATTAACCACAAAACTGCCAAAATTTAAACGCAACAACGACAACCCAATAAAAAAAACAATTACAATAACAATAACAACAATTTAAGTAAACAACCATAATACATAACAACAACAGCAGCAAAAACCAATACAAACCAAACCAAATTTACATAACAATAACAATACATAGCAACAACAAACTTACTTTAATGCTAAACTATAATTATTGTAAAACTAAATCAACAAAAAATACATATCAATAACTATTGCAAAACTAAATCAAGAAAAAAATTATTTTAATGCCACAAATGAAGGACACAAATTACTTCAAAAAAAAAAAAAAATAAAGGACACAAATATTTTCAAATTAAAACATGCACCAAATCAACAAAATCGAAGACCAAAAAAAAAAAACATAAATTAAAAAACAAAGGAAAACAGAAAACAAAAAAAAGGTGGAAAAACAGAAAAACACAAAAACCAAAAAAAAAAGGGAAAAACAGAAAAATAAAAAATAAAATAAAAAAAGGGAATAACAGAAAAATAAAAAAATAAAAAAAAACCTGGAAACTGGACTTCTGCCCAGAAAATTCGGAAGTCCAGGGGAACTTCCGGAAATTTCAGGCGGAAACCCCACTTCCGCCTGAAATTTCCGGAAGTTCCCCTGGACTTCCGGAATTTCTGGGTGGAAGTCCCCTTGTCCAAATTTTTTTTTTTCAAAATTCAAAATTTTAAAACAAAAAAAAAAACTCACCAGCTCGCCGCCGCTAACGCCGCCACCACGACCACCAAACGTCAGTCTAATTCTCCGTCGGTCTGCCATTGTCGGATTCAACGTTTGATTGCAAGATTTACTTGTGTTTGAGTAGCCTTCAACTATTTTGGTTTTTTTTTTTTTAAAAAAAAATTCTGATTTTTTTTTTTTCAAAATTTCAGATTTTTTGGAAGGTTTTAGAGAGAGAAAGTGTCAAAGAGTGATTTTGTGAGATGGGAAATGTCTCATAAAGCCCTTACTTACTTTATCGAGTATTTATATACGGAGGGCAATTTAGGATATTCGTCACCTAGTAAAATGCGAACGATGTTTAACAACACCCCTTATTTAATCATGTTAGATGCAGTGATGTACTCGTAGATATAAATCATACTCCCTTCGTTTTGTATTAATCGCAATACTAAGATGTTCACAAAATTTAAAAAAAATTATAATATAAAATTAGCGATTTTTTGGTGCAGCAGGCCACACCGTGTGGCAGGAATTACCCGAGTTATTTTGTTAGGGGTTACCTGAGTTATTCAGTCAGGGGTTACTCGGTCTGGGGTTACTTAATGGGTTCAGACAGGGTTAGTCAAGGGTTACTTGAGGGGTTACTGGAATTACTCGGTTAAGGGTTACTCGAGTTACTCGGTCAGGGATTACTCGAGTTACTCGATTAGGAGTTATTTAAGGAGATCGGTCAGGAGTTACTCGAGTAATTCGGTTAGGGGTTACTTAAGGAATTCGGTCAAGGGTTACTTAAGGGGTTACTTAGTCAGGGTTTACGTTACTCGGTCAAGGGTTAATCGAGGGGTTCGATTATGGATTACTCAAGGGGTTACTTGGTCAGGAATAACTCAAGTAACCCCTGACCAAGTAACTCGAGTAACCCCGACAACTCGAGTAACCCCTGACCGAGTAACTCGAGTAACCCCTGCCACACAGTACAACAGGCTGCATACGAAAATTTGTGATATAAAATATGGTTGGTGAAAAAGTGAAATAATAATAATAAAAAAAATAAAAAAAAGTAGTATAAGTGGGATTGGTAGGAAATAGAAATAATAGAATATTTGTGAAAGTGAGGTTATTGGGAGATAGACATCATAAAATAATGGTGGGTTTTTTTTTCAAATATAGAAGTGTTGCAATTAATATGAAACGGATGTAAAAGAAAAGTGTTGCGATTAATACAAAACGGAGGGATACGAAGTATATCCGAATAGTCATATTCATCCTGTATTTTATTACTTTGTACTTGCTTCATTTTTCTGTTGTGGTCGTATTTTATTACCTTTTTTTTTTTTTGAAACTTTGAATAATGTTTTACTATTTTTCTTCCCATTAGTGTGACCTTCTCATCTTATTTTAATATTTATTATATTCTCTCTCTTCCCTACTTATACTCATTTTTTGTTTTATAATTTTTTTTTTATTATTCAACCACCCCACTTTCACTATATTTTACTAAATAATGCCCGAGCCATGCTCAGTTTTTAATTTTAATACAGAAAAAAGAATTGAAATATAGAAGTGTGTAGAAAAATGTGCATAATAGTAAAGAATTAGATAATAATGCTCCTAGGAAAATTAATAATTATGTAAAAAATCTAAAAAAAAAATAATAAAATTAAAAATAAAGCAGAGTTTAAGAGGAAAAATTCCCTCCAAACAAATCCTGCTTTAATATAGAGTAATGGATTCCTTTTTACTATTTATCTTAAAACTCCACACAAAGATAAATGAATCAAGTAATAAAATATGGAGGGAGTACTTCATAACATGTACTTCCTAATTTTTATCCCAACAAGTCCATATCATTTTAATATGTTACTAAAGTCACCAATTTTATCATACACCTTACAAAAAATAAAATAAAAAATTGGTACACTATAAATTTACGCTTCACTACTGTCTTAATTATTTTTGGGGCCTTGTGCTAATTATAAAAATGGGCCCTTTTAATTTTAATAAATTAACTAGGCAATTTTTCTCTCTTTATTACTCCATATCAAGGAGAAAAATAAAGCCATGAATAAAGTTTGCATGGTGTTAAAAAGAGTAAAAGCTATTTTTCCTCAAAAAAAAAACAAAAAAAAAAACATAAAGCTAGTCCGTACTATTATATAACATTGCAATATTCTTTCTTTAATTTTTTTTTCCCTCTAATCTGTTTGGTAGGGTGTAAAATGTTTTACATCATTTTCTCTTCTTTTCCACTATTTGGATGTAAAACAATTTTCCATCAAGAGTATAAAAACTCTTGTATGAGTGAAATTTATTTTCCTTTTGAAATGGCGGGAAAACACTTTTCCTTCATTTCTTCTCTTTTCCTTAGCAATTTTTTACCTTTCCTCCTATCCGTCCTATCCCTTTCCCTTCCACCTTTTTTTTTCCCAATGTATTTTTACATTTTATTGTAAAATGTTGTACATAAAAATTCATTTTACACCCTACCAAACGGAGCCTAAATGAAAAGTGTATAGAATTATTGAAGGTTTATGCATGAGTTGTAAAAAGATTTTAAAAAAACTCTTCACGAGAATCGAACATACGACCAAAGAGATTAGAAAAAACAAAAAAAAAAATCCTTCACGAGAATCGAACAAGCGACCAATGTGCATGCTATACTCTCAAATACAAATGTTAACCACTATGACATCTACCTAGCATTAGATTTTATCTGCAGTAAATTATGATACATACTATATAGTTAGAGGCCCTTTTAGTTCAGAGGCCCTGTGCTAAGGCCCACCTTGCACACCTTACGCTTGAATGTAGGATGGACACCTTATTAAACACCCAAAGGTATCACTACAATTTGACATCAAGCTAACCATATCAGTTTGCTCAAGTATACGATTAGCAAATTAACAATATTTGCCAATGTCTAACAAATTTCAAAATTCATTTTCTACAATGTGTACCTTTTCATACTTAAAACAGTACGTCCTAGAGTACGCAATTCAAGATTCGTCCGTCCAATAAATCAGATATTGTCGCTCAATTGGGCCCTCCACTATCACGATTCACGAAACCATCATCTATTTTATACTCTCAACTGTTAAATACATTACTAGCAAAAAACGATGATGGTTAATTGAGTACCTCACTAGCCATTATTGCATATGGGCTTGGGCTTCTTTGGGCCTTGCTTGATTGTGGTGAAAATATCATAGCCCATCACTCGGGTCATTAGTGAGAGCTACAAGGTCATTGAGAGTTTGAGATTAATAATGATTTATTAATAGACAGACATGGAGAGGATTAGCTAAAGAAAAATTAAGGTTGTTATAAAATTTTAGGTGGATAGTACCAAAACCTGTTTGTGCCATTGCGTTTGTTACGTCTTACGTGCACTTGCGTACAGATACGAAGGTATAGCGGCTAACAGGCTAAGACAGTAACATTGACAGCAAAATATTCAACAAAAACCATGACAGTTGCTGCTTAAACTAGCAGAAAGGTTCATTCTAAGCATCAGAACATTAGATAAGCCATACATGAATGTTCATTAAGTTATCCTAATTGCCAACAAATTGTAAAATTATTTACTTTCAGCACGAAAATCTAGTTTATTCACCAGATGCATGAAACATAGCTGCATATACAACGCAAGACGTAGAAGATAGCATTATCCCTTGATCAAGTCTTGGAACTGTTGGTAGGTTTAACACTGGGAGCCTTGCCAATGAATATATCAGTAAGCACCGTGCTAGACCCGAATGCAGCTCTTACTAGGTTTAAGGCCTACCAAACATATGCTGCACTTGTGAGTGTAATGCATATATGAAGTATATAATTGACTGACTCAATTTAATTTAAGAACTTGATGAACAAAGTACGAGTAAACAACATTGGGAGAATTGTATTTAGAAGGAAGAAAAGAGCACCTTTTCAGCGTGGACCTGGACAATCATCTCTTGAAGAGTGCACATGTCTTTGATACCATGAGTTTTAAAGAGATTAATGCTAGAGATGGAGGAGGGTGTTATTGTCAGATCATCCATCACCATGTACGCAACCGCGCCTTTAACATACCCATCTACTTCATCAGTTTGTTGTGAAGAGGAGTATGAGTAGTTTATGTTGCTGCTGCTGCTTCTACTACTGCAGAGTATAAACGCAAAACTCATGATTATAGCCAAATCTCTTTAGAAATTTAGATAAAGATCAGGAAATATTAACAGATTGTTTGGATACAAAATTAGTAAGAAATAAGAGGGGAAAGGAGGAATAACTCTTTGTTTGAGAGGTTTTAAAGAGTACAAAATAATATTCGGCAAAAAAAATACAGGTTTACACTGGTTAGGGGCAAGACTACATACATACATACATACCTGTCAATAATAATACCACCCTATGCACCAGACAACTTATATAACTATAAAAAAAACGTTAGAATTCTAAGACAGTCACAGAATAAGTTCAAGGTATAAATTAGTGCAAATAAATGCATTTGCATCTTATATACATAATCTGTGTTGAAAAGAGCAGAGATTATGATCAACTCAAGCAGGGGAAAGGGTAGAAGGGGAAACCGTTCAAGAATGAACTAATACACGAATGAACAAACTAATCCCATTAGCTTTAAAATAATTAAGGGAATGTAATGCTTCGTATATTTAAACCAGTAGCGGATGCACACTCCTTTAAACCAGAGCATCTATTATGGACTCGGGTGCACCCATCTCTTGGTGCACCCCTAACATTTTTCTACTCACAAACTCCCACATGAGCACCAGAGCATGTGAGATTTAGTGTTTTTTTTTTTTTTTTTTTTTTTTCAAGTATTACTTGTGCAAAAAATTAATCTCGTGTTAATTTTTAAAATGCCAATTATCATATCATGGACCGGCTGAACAATAGTTCAATGACCATGAACATACTTACATACAATTCAAAGATTCCAATTCGCAAACATCTATCATCATATTGCTATACATGCTCATTTTCGTTGCTAATATAAATTGAACTATATGTTTGCAAGAATTCAATATTTGAACCACTAAGTATATACTGAACTATATACTTGTAAATGATTGTTCACAATTCTTAATCTTTAAGATCATCATCATGATACAATTTTCAACATGCCTCGTGTTTGATGACAAGTTCCATTAACATTGACATGATCACGGAATAATAAAATACAAAAATAACGACCATTACCACCTACCAAACAGGCCATACGAGAACCAAAAAAAAAAAAGAAGAATTAGAAGGAAGGACTCACAGAGGTACCAAATCACGAAGCACAGCAGTCTGCTTAACCTTAGAATTGGAGGTATGTTTAGGGTTAAGGATAGATTCACGGACTTCATGTTTCTGGAGATAGAACCCTCAATAGACTTAGCACTCTCATATATTTTGCCAAGAGATAAGCTACTCAGAATCCTAAGGATTGAACCAAGTGGAAGATCCATTAAACCCAGTAAAAAATCCACAAACTCCTTGCCTGCCTCTGCATAAACCACTTTCTTTGATTCTTTGTTCACTAGCAGTTTCAGCGTTATTCCCATTTTCAAACTATTCTCTGAAAATGAAAATGTAGGGTTTAATCTTTTAGATTTAAAGTCAGCAGGCAGAGAATGTATTTATATATTATATGTGATTCATCTAGACGTAAATAATAGCCCACATTGCCGACGGCTCAAATAAAATTTAAAATGTCAAAGTTATCTTTTTAATTTTTTTCTAGAGTAGATTATCCTTAAATCAAGTACTACGTGGTTTTCGGTGAGATGATCTCATGCTAGTTATTTTTTGAGAAGTACCCTAGTAAATTGGTTGGTAAGATATACAAATTTTGCCTTTAAACTATTTTGCTTTTTTGTGTTGAAAGTGTATTGAGCTTTTTTCTCTTTTTTTTTGCAACATAGAAGAAACTCCCTCCGTTTTTAAATATTTGATCCACTTTTATTTTCGGCCGTTTTTAAATACTTGCTACATTTTCTTATTTGGAAAACATTTACAATATTTAATTCATTTCTCTCAATTAGTGGACTCAATATAAATTATATTTATTAATTTCATATTCTCTCTTCTACCATTCTCTCAACTAATTTTGCTTTTTACAACTTTGGGATATTATTTGTGAGACATAGAAAAATTCCAAAGTTGCACATAACATTTAACGGAGGTAGTATTTATTATTCTTCTACCTACCCCACTACCTTCATATTTTATTACTTTATCTAATTTCTCCTAAAACTCCGCACATGGAAAAATGGAGCAATTATTTAAAAACAGAGGGGGTATTATAGTCGTCCTCTGTATTCTAAGTACTCCGTTTCTGTAATGCAGTCTCAATAGTGTCATATGAAAACTGATTTTGCACAAAGATGTCTTATTACTCCTGCGTTTTATATAGTTATGAGGGTAACTAAAATATTATACAAAGTATAAAATACAGAATAAATCCAAATACAATGATATTATTGACATCTTACTCGAAGTATTCATTAAACAGTACAAATCCATAATATAGTTCTACACGAATACAGTGATGATAGGAAATATCTTAAAGCAACTTCAATACTTATTTCACACATGCAAATAAAGAGAATTCATTCTGAAACAGCAAACATTAGAGCTTCATTCGCCAGAGACCTCAATGGCCTTGACCTCAGGCTTCTTCTCTTCCTCCTTTGGGACAGTCACAGTCAGCACACCATTCTCCAAGCTAGCCTTCACCTGATCCATCTTAGCATTCTCTGGCAACCTAAACCGACGTACGAACTTTCCGCTGCTCCTCTCCACGCGGTGCCACCTATCATTCTGCTCCTCTTTCTCTTTGTTTCTTTCTCCACTAATCTGAAGGACTCTCCCTTCCTCCACCTCCACCTTTACCTCTTCCTTCTTCAGCCCTGGAAGATCAGCCTTGAAGACGTGAGCCTCAGGAGTCTCTTTCCAGTCGACCCTCGTGCTCACAAAAGCAGAGGTGTCCTGAGCTGATGGCACATTGGCAACGGTTGAGAAAAAACCATCCAAAGGGTCGAAAACATCTGAGAAGGGATCGAAAACATTGGTTCTTTGGCCAAAGAAGCTTGGAATGAGAGACATTTTCGGGTTTTCAAAAGTAAGGAGGGAAGGCTGTGAATTGTGTGATAAACAACAATGCAAATGCTTAGCTCTGTTTCTTGCTGAGATGATAAGTTCTCACAACATCAACCTATATATAGCAAACGATGCGAGTGTTCGAGCATTCAAGTATCAATGATAAGAGTAATAAAATATAAGAAAGTAAGGGAGAGCTCTAGTTCCTTTAGAAAAGGGACTCTTTTAGGCCTTCTAGCAGCTTCATAGCTTCACCAGTATTCATCTCAAATGTTCAACTCAATGATGATGGAACAATTATTAATTAATGCCACATCCTATTTCCTCAACTTTCCACAAACTTCTACCAACAAAAATAAAGTAATAGGACAACACACACACACCCAAAAAAAAAAAAAAAAAAAAAAAAAAAAAAAAAAAAAAAAAAAAAAAAAAAAAAACGTCATCACCTTCAGGAACAGTGTGGATACTACCTCGTACTTTAAAGTCCTTCTGCACAAAACCACCCTGCAATCTACCTCTTAACTCACAATTCTGAGTAACAATTTGCAAAAAGGTTTACTTTCTTGAGCTGATGGAAAATCTTAACCAAGTTCCACTCAATCTCAAGAAAAAAAAAAATCCAATCCGATTCCAACTGAATTCAACACAACTTAGGACCCTAGGACACAACTGAATTCGATTCCTAGTACCACGATAAATCAATAAAAAAAATATTAATTAACTTTACAATACTAAAATTTTTTTTATCAGAATCCTAACCTTAAATCAGAAATTAAACCGAATCTAACAGCTGACTCAAGCTAAACAAAAAATGAGACCAAAACCAAATCATATACTTCGTATTACAAATCTAGTTAGAATGACCACGTCCGGAGCCATTCCTTGACAATACCTATGACATATGAAGGGGATGCACAGTGTGCAGGCTAAAGCAGAGGATTATTAATAACACAACCACAAAACATTCAAAAGGAGGTCATCTAACCTTGTCCTCCCTTGAGTTATGCAACAGTGCCCATAGCCAGAAATAACTCCATATATCAAGTAAAATATAACCATTATCCGTGGAAACAAAGATCGGGCAAGCAAAATGCACCAAAGATTCATATGGAGTAAACAAGAAAATTATAATTTTCCCCACAAGAATTATGAAGGATCATGATAAAAGATAGAACTGATATCATGACAATAAGAAGTGAGGAGGCACAAATCAGGGCTGCACAGCAGTGATTTTCACATGCAAAATCTAAATTACAACTTGGATCTAAAAGAGAGTTTTTACCTGCAGCAGAGTCAGTGTAGTGTTATCATCACTTTTCTCGGATTTCTCCTTGTCTAAAATACTCATGTTTCTGCTCAGCCTTCTTTAGACTTCAAACAAGTCTATCCTAACAGCCAAAAAACTAGTAGCACGGTATACATTTCCCCTATTCATCAGATCTATTGTGGCTTTGTTCGAATTAGTTATGTGAGTGAATGAGAAAGTGGCCATTCCCTTTTGAACAAAGTAGGTATGACTCGGTATGAGGGGTTAGAAGCAGAATACATTTCAGGAGAGAAGGAAGAGGTCTTATGTCCAAATTTTTCACTCAATTCCTCTATACAAAAATTACTAAAAACTTGTAAAACTAACAGCAAAGTAGAAATACTTGCATATTCTGAAGCAGCAGAGTGGATCAATGTCACCTATACATTTGATTCTAATTTTTAAAGCAGAGAAACTGAAAGGTACAGCATAAGCAATGAGTAGCTAGTAGTGTGGTACAGGGCAAGACTGAAACACAACTCAAGAATGGTCCAAATGCCTAAATTTATAGACTTCATGTTCTTGATCATGCAGAAACAGGCTACAACATTCTAGCAATCACGAAATTAAGGAGAATTGCTACTGAAAATGAAACAAGGGAACATGGAAAAAGGTAAGATTATCATAACTCAATAAGTAAATAGGCCCAGTTCAAGGCCACAAGAGAACCCATTCAGCGAGCAAAATCTAAACTGCAACATAGTTCCGCTGGAATACATTCAAACACTACAAAATTAACAAGCTTGAGATAACTAGAGAAGAAAACAATACGGAGTAACATACAATTCTAAGGGCTATTTCCATTCAAAACTGTATTCTTTTATTCTTGATCAGCATCTTTATCCTTCTTTTTCTTCTTTTCCTTCTTCTCCTTCTTTTTCTCACTTCGACTTCCATCCTCTGTATCAGCAGCAGCATCACCGTTTTCCACATCCTTGCTCTTCTTCTTTTTCTTCTTCTCTGATTTCTCCTCATCAGTTGACTCTGCCTTTTCTTCTTTATCCTTCTTTTTCTTTTCCTTCTTAGACTTGGACTTCTCTACATCAGGAGTAACAGGTTCGTCAGCCTCCTTCTTCTTCTTTTTCTTCTCTTTGACTTCCACAACTTCCTCTTCCTGAACTTTAATCTTCTTTACATCACCACCAGGACTAGCATCGACCTCCTCCAATTTCCTCTTCGACTTCTTCTCCTTCTTCTCTTCTACTACCACATCTTCTGCAGTCGCAGGTTCAGCTGCAGCAGCAATGCTAGCAATCACAGAATCACCACCAGTAGGAAGAACCACATTCCTTGCCCACTCAGCAGGAGTCTGCTCATTCGGCTTACCATGCTTATCCAGCTTGCCCTCCGCAATCAGCTTCTTCTTCATCGAAGCCCTTGGACCAAGCCCCCACTTCCTGGGATAAGTATCCCTATCCATAATCACCCTCTTAATCTTGGCAACTATCCCATGATCACAAGTAGCCATAACAGCAGTAGTCATCTCCGCAATCCCCAAAGCAATAGCTTCACCCTTAGTAGTCATCAAAACAACCTCCTCCCCAACCTCAACATCATTCTCAAACCTAAGCAACCCAGGAATCATCAACTTAGCACCATAACAAATCGCATTCACCGCAGAATCCTTGACAACAAGCCTCTTGTAGCTAGTCAAAACAACTTCCAATGGCATAATAACCCGCCTCAAATAACTCTCATCCCTATAATTATCATACATCCATTGCGCATCCATCACATCATGCATCGTAACCATATTATTCTTCTCCCCTAAAATACCGGACCGCACCCTCCTAAGCTCCTGCATATGTCCTCCCACACCCAACAACAAACCCAAATGAACACAGAGTGTCCTGACATAGGTACCAGCCTCACAACTAATCCAGAAAACAACCAAATGCCTATCGGCATCATACTCAAGCAGCTTACTTTCATAAATAGTCCTAATCCTAAGTTGCCTTTTAACAGCAGAAATCAAAGGAGGGCGCTGAAACACAGCACCTGTCAAGGTTTCCAAAGCTCTAGCAACCTTAGCAACATCAGGAACAGCAGAATGTAATCTAGCAACACAAACATACTCTTTTCCAGCACCTTGTTGAGATTTAACTAAACGAGTTGCTCTTTCAATACAAACAATTAAATTCCCAGTAACCTTAGGATCTAAAGTACCAGAATGACCAGTTTTTTCTACCCTTAAAATACGCTTAATCCAAGCAACAACTTCATGAGAAGAAGGATTAGCAGGCTTATCGAGATTAAGAATACCATACCTGATGTACTCGGCAAGAGGTCGTTTCAATGGTGAATACCCAGATGAAAGAGGGGTGTAATGCCCAGTTCTAACATTCAATCGGTCGTAGTTTTTCAGGAGAATTGGCCACTCAGAAGTGTCGATTGACGGGGTGAAACTCTGGGGTTTGATTAAGAAATCAGTGTCGTTTTGGGGTTGTGAGTCAGTCGTTTTGGGGGTGTCGTTCTGGTCGATGACGACGCTCTTGCTTTTCTTCTTCTTCTTGTCTGAGCGAGAGATTTCGACGTCCGCCATTGATGAGGTTAGGAGGAGAGAGAGAGATGGAAATTAGGGTTTTGTTAGGGTTTGGAAGGGGGTGGAAGAAGAAGACGGAAATGAAGATGGAGTAAGAGTTTTATGTGAGAAAAGATGGAGGCTTTTTGACTGAAAAATGGATGGGGGTTTAGGGTTTTAGATTTTTCTTTTCTTTTTGGGCTGGGTTTTTGGGTTAAGAAAATAGTGAACTTTTGAAGATTTTTAGGGCTCTAATTTATTCTTGATTGTGTATTGACATTAGAGTTGTTTGACTTAGATGACTAGATAGATGGTACTATTATGGCCCAATCCTAAAAGTAGCAATTTTTTTTTTTTAGGATCCCTTACTCTCGAAGGTTAAAATAAATAAATAATACGAAGTACTTCGTATAGCAAAATTAGAGATTGAGGTTATTGATTAGTTTTACTTGAACATCGTAATCACGAATCTGATAATGCAGTGGATTAGCTGACAAATGCGGTATAGATCCCTCGCCGTCGTGGTGGTTGTAATTTTTTGCCATTGTGACTTGCAATTCAGGCTATGTGTTTGTGTTAATTTAACTATCCTATCGAGTTGTTTAGATATATTGTACTTTAAAATTTTCTACATTTAAGTTCGGACTAAGTATTTAAGAAAAGAGGGAATATTACTACAATGGTTGAGACCGTTGAGACGTTGACATGTAATTATGTAAATGAGGTTAATCCAATGGTGATGCGTGCTTCCATGACCTGCATTCCTAAGAAATTTTAAGATATCAGTGTTAGCAATTTGTAGGCGACAATCGTTGGTGGCCTGGTGCAACCAGAAAGAAAAAACCCAAAGAATTTAATCACTTCAATTGTGAACTTTTGGGCCAGGCGGTCAGGTCGACTGGGCCTAGTTCTGCAACAGATTGTAAAACTAGGCTTGGTAGTTTGGTACATTAAAGTCCAAAACAACTTTTGCTGAGATGGCAAGATTGGCAACAAATGCATTTTTTAAATTTACTACTTCCTCTATTTTTTTTTTACTTGACCTATTTCTTTTATCACGCTTGTCAATGAAAAACTTTAATGATCAATAATTTTAATTCTCCGTAACTAAAAATTATAAAAGTTATATATTATGATATTACTTATTGAGACGAATTCAAAAATATCCTACATAAATATGCTTTTCCTTACATATTATTCACAAAAGACGATCAAAAAAGGGGTGGTGAATAGTGTAAAAATCAAAGTGGGTCAAGTACAAAAGATTGGAGGAAGTACTTACTATAACATTCGTCTCAAAATTTAGTAGAGCACAAAGAAGTTAAGAACTTGCACTTGGTCGGATTATCACTTGTTGTTTCCCAAATAACTGATAAATCAATGGGCCTCAAGTAATAGATCTGGGTTGGGTCATGTTGGCCCTCATCTGGTAAACAAATGAATGTCTTGGAAGTTGGAATCTGCTAAAGCAACATGCCTTTAAAAATACTACATCCGTTTTTTTAGTTGACACGTTTTGACTTTAGCACTATTCACTCACTTAACTTTGATCGTGTTTTGTGCTTTATACGAAATGAAAAATATAGTCGTGTGGATCTTGTTAGATTTGTCACAATATATATTTTCAAAATATCAACTTTTTATAATTTTTATTTATCAGTAATTAAAGGTATTAATGGTTGAAGTTGTACATTATTAAACGTGACTAAACAAACGTGTCATACTAAAAAAATGGAGGAAGTAATAACTAACCCTACTCTATCAGCTTCTTTGATAATCGGTCATAAACAACGATAAATGGGCTAAAATTACAATAAATTTGTATGTGAATTTGAGGAAAAATTAACCTCATAATTGTCAATATTTATTCACAAATTTCCATTCCCACCTAATGGTATTGGGTGGTTGGGGGATGAGATTGTGTCTCATCATTGATTTTTTTTTTTTTT